GGCGCGGGCGGTGATGCTGAGCTGTTCCTCTCCCCGCAGCGCTGAAGGAGCAGCTGGACAACAGGCTCTTCGGGCAGCACCTGGCCAAGGATGTGGTGCTGAAGGCGGTGATGGGCTTCAGCAACAACCCCAGCCCTAAGAAGCCGCTGATGCTCTCGCTGCACGGCTGGGCTGGCACCGGCAAGAATTTCCTCAGCCAGATCCTGGCGGAGCACATCCATCCCGCCGGCCTGCGCAGCAAGTTCGTCCATCTCTTCCTGGCCACGCTGCACTTCCCTCACCCCGACCAGGTCAAGACCTATAAGGTGAGGAGGGGCACGAGGTACACCCTGTTACCCCCAGTCAGTCCCTAAACCCTCTAGAGGGGATTTTCTGCTGCACGTCTCCTCCAGATCCCCAATAGCTGGAGTATTCCAGAGTTGGTGCGGGAGAAGTGCAGAAAAAGGCACCAAAAAGCCAAGAAATCAAACGTGACATAATTTCCGAAGTGCTGTTCTCTCACTGATGCCATCTGCTGATTCCCGTGCTCGCTACTGGGAGAGAGTTCCAGCATTACAACTGCGTGTCCTGACTGGCTGGGATGAAGGGAATCTTCTCCATAGCTCCCACGGGGCTGTGTTTTGTGTTCATGGCTAAAACAGTGCTGGTAACACAGCAGTGGTTTTTGGCTGTAACTTATCAGTGCTTGCACAGCCTCAAAGCTTGCTGGTTTTGCCCACTCCTATCAAGCAGGCTAAGGTGGGCAAGACACCCCCTAAGGAGGGGTCACAGCCTAAACAACTGACCCCAGTTGGCCAGAGGGATGTTCTGTACCTTATGCTGTCATGCTCAGCCATTAAAACTGGGGTAGAAGGAAAAAGTGGTGGGGTGTGATTTCCAAGGTGGTTGTTGTTCTGGCTGGCTTGGCATTGGTCTGCATGTATCAGAAGGGTGAGTGATACCCTTTGCTTGTATTTTTTGTCTTTTCATCACCTATCAAACTGTCTTTATGTCGACTCATTAATTTTTCTCACTTTTATTCATTGTCCTCTCTCCCCCATCCTCCTGGGGTGCCTGGCTGAGCCACCCCACCACACACTGTGTAATGAGAAAGTGTAGCCTGCATGAGAGATTTTCCAAGTGACTTCATTCCTTGACTTTGGAGAATTCTGATCATCATGTTTTAATGTCTGAAGGTACCCAAAACTGATGTAGTGATAGATGTGGTTTCTGTATGAAAGGTGAAACACTGACATTTTTAAACAAACAAAATGAAGCTTTCCCTTGTCCAAGACTTCCCTTCTCAGCCTGGATTTCGTGTCTTACTCATACACTAAGCAGAAGAAATTAGAAAGTCTTCCCTCTGTGAGCAGGAAAAGAATTCACATTTAAATTCAGCCACAGCTCAAAGGGATCAGTCACAGAAATTATGGTTCTTTCTTCAGGAAAAAGTACAGCCAGTGAGTGTGGGATGCTGACATTTGACAGGGTGTCCCCAGAGTTTGTCACATATACAAGCATCTTGCAGTACATCCACAAAAAAACTTGTTTTTCAATGTTTCAACCTCTTGTTCCAGGAACAGCTGCAGAATTGGATTCGGGGCAACGTCAGTGCCTGTCCCTCCTCTGTCTTCATTTTTGATGAGATGGACAAAATGCATCCAGGTCTCATTGATGCCATCAAGCCATTCCTGGACTATTACGAGGAGGTCGATGGGGTGTCCTACAGGAAAGCCATCTTCATCTTCCTCAGGTCTGTGGACCTGTTTCTGCCATTCTGAGATACTGGGATAAGTGTTTGTTTATGATAATGATGATGTTCAGAGCAAAAGGACTGCTCTGAACAGGGAATGAAGACCCTCTCTGTGCAAAGGCAGGGGGGAGCACTCTGAGCTCATGCCTGGCCTGTGGTTGTAGTGCAGCAGTTCTGATGCCACTGCAGTGTGCTGAGCTCACGAGCCTGGCCCAGAGCAGAGATCATATGAGAGCTCACACTTTGGGCAAGTTCTCTGGGATGGGTGCACTGTGTACTGGGTCTGACTGGTGTGGAGTTAAGTGTCTTCACAGCAGCTGGTTTGGTGCTGTTTTGGATTTGTGGCTAAAACAGTGTTGATAACACACCAATGTTTTGGCTCTCTGGATGATGCCTGCAAGGCCTCAAGGTTTTTCTCACACTGCTCCCAGCTGGGGTAGGCAGGAAGATGGGAGGAAATACAGCTGGGACAGCTGACCCAAACTTCCAGGGGTATTTTCATACCAAGTCATGTCATGCTCAGCAATAAAAACAGGTAGAGAAAGAAGGGGGTTTCAGCTTTCAAGGTGATGGTTCTTCACCAGTCTCCTGGGTGTTGGTTTGACTGTGGGGGTGGTGAGTGATTTCCTTAGCCCTCCTTGTTTGTTTCTAACTCTTTTCATAACATATTAAACTATCTTTATTTTGACCCACGAGTCTTCATGCTTTTGTCCTTCCTGTTTTCTCCTTCCATCCTGCTGAGGCAGGAGGGAGTAAGGAAGCAGCTGTGTAGGTTGCTGCTGACTGAGGTCAGCCCACCACACACTGATGGCTGTTTGAAGAGCTGGAGACTTTCCCTAAATTTTGGTGTACAGGAATCTGTTTTGGTGATCTGTTTGCTATCAAGAAGATTAGCAATACATGTAACTGGCTGCAAAAGATTCTGGTTCACTTGTGTCTGTACTCACCACTGTCCATTTTTCTTTTATAATCAGCAATGCAGGTGGTGACTTAATTAATAAAGCAGTTCTTGATTTCTGGACAAGTGGAAAGCGCAGGGAAGATATTCAGCTGAAAGACCTGGAGCCCATGCTGTCTGTAGGAGTTTTCAACAACAAGAATAGTAAGTCGCTTTGCCCCAAAATTGAGAAATTAATTCCTCAGTGGCTGAGACAAAATGCTTTGTGAATTCAGCCTGGCCTGCAGATCCTGTTGTGTGCAAGATCAAGTTTAGAGAAACTCCTTCCTATGATTTTTCCCCCCTCACTCTTCCAGGTGGACTGTGGCACACCAGCCTCATTGACAGGAACCTCATTGACTACTTTGTCCCCTTCCTGCCCCTGGAGCACAGGCATGTGAAGATGTGTGTCAGAGCCGAAATGACAGCGCGTGGCTACGCTGTTGATGAGGGCATTGTTCAAGCAGTGGCTGATGAGATGACTTACTTCCCCAAGGAGCAGAAAATCTACTCTGATAAAGGCTGCAAGACTGTACAGGCCAAGCTGGATATTCATGAAGACCTTGTGATCAGAGATAGAAAAACCAAGGGTTGATTTCAAGGCTCCAAAGCACTTTCGGAGCTGTTGGAAATCTGTGTATTTGCACTTCAGCTTTTTTACTGTTGCAGGGAATATGGTGAAAATACCAGAGTGAACTGTGTGGGCCTTGTAGCTTTTTTGTTTTTGTTTTGTTTTTAACTTCACATAGAATCACAGAGTGTTTAGATTGGAAGGGACCTTAAAGAACACTGCCTAGTTCCATGCTACAACATACTAGGCCAGTCTGTTCTTAATGAGAAAAATCTCTAATGAGGGTTTGTTTGACTGTTACAGCTTGTCAAGTTATCTGCATGAGAGCTCCTGGGCCTGAAGTCTGTAAGATCTTTAGTAAACCCCCTGCTGCACTCAGTGATTGAGATGTGGATAATGCTACTCTCATCTTGCCTGGAAGACACTTTGATGGAAGGAGTTATTTTTAATAGTGTATTTTTATACTAGAGTGTGAGCCACAGCAATACAAAGCTCTTTCTAGAGAGCCACAGAGAAGAGAGTATGGGAAACAGGAGCAATCAACAATCCCATACCTTGCTAGTTAAGTTCTCACTAGTTAAGTTTTTTTATAGTAGCTTTTGACTTTAAAGAATGCCTGTGTGAAAGGGTGAGTGCTGAGTTAAGAAGCTGGGAAAGATCAAGTTAACCTTCACCCCGTGGTAGGGCTGGGGTTTAAAACTCTGTTGCAAGCTTTAACTCTTTCATCACCCATCACTTGTACTGCAAGACAGAAGTGCCTTTCACTTGGCTGACTGTACTGTGGTTTTCAAATGGGTAGGAGGGATTGGACTATTTTTGTGTTGCAGCATCTGTTCCTTCCCTTGTACTTAAACGTCCTTTAAGATGTGATGTAAAACCTACAGGTCTCATTACAATTATGTTAATTCAAATTACAAGAGAGCTTAGCATTTATGTTAAGCTCTAAAAGTATCAATTGCCTTTTACAACCCCATGTGGAATTTGTCAGATGTTGGCAAACTATTCACACTGATGCAACCTCCAGAGCCAAATGCTAGTGAGACATTAACCTTGGGACATTGGACTGTCACTTTTCATGTGTGATGTTTTGCCTATTAACATAGTCCTAGGTGTATATGCTGCATTCAGTTTCACTTACTCCAAAAACCATTGTGCCATTTCAAAAAAAACACTATTGTTACTGTACTACAGTTGGAATAAATATGAAGTTTTATATATTAATTTCTCTCTTGGTTTAATCATTTTCAGCCATAAGAAAGTAGTGGTTTATGCATTTTGCTGCACTACAGAGTTCTGTTAGGCTTTCTTTACTCCTAAAAAGGTGTTTATAACAATGGATAAGCAGATCAGCCTGTTGATATTAAAACATGTTGACTCATCCAACAGCAAAGTAAGCAATTCAGCTGTTAAATACAGCTCTGTAGAAACAAACACCTGTGAAAACCCCTAAAAATCTCTGCTTCATGGTTATTAACAGATCTCTCCTACCACACTGCAGGACAAACACACCTGAGGTAGCTTGTTTAACCATTCCTCCTCTCTGGCTGTGTCTGCAAAGTGGCTCTTCCCCTCTCCTTGCGCTAGCAAAGGCAGGATGGGACTCCAGGTTTTCATCGTGTCACCGTGGCCAGAGCATCTGCAGCCTCTGCAAAGAGCCAGTGTGTAAGTAACAGCTTAGTTCAAGTGAGGTACAGCTGCTGGCAGCAACTCACACCTCACTCAAGAGTCAGTTGCTCACACTGCTGTGATCCACATGTGCTCTAAGGATGCATAAGGAAGTGTTACAGAGTGTGCATGGGAAGTGTGAGCTGTGCTGGTCACCAGGACTTTGCCCTGTGCCTGCGTCGCACTGCACACACAACAGCTTGGCTGTTTGCCCCCGGGCACTGGGCACCAGGCTCAAATCAGAGAAAGAACAGCAGAAGGTAGCTAAGAAAGACTTTGCCCATGAGAAAAGTTTATTTTGAACAGCAACTGGAGTGGAAAAAAAGCCTCTGCAGTGCTCACATTCAGAAACAAGTCTGACACTTCGCAGTAACTTCAGGTGATGCATTTCACATTTTTCAAATGCCTTTTAGCTCTGTCTTCATCCCGGCCTCAAAGGCACACAGTGTTGTGAGGAGAGGAAAAAGGGAAAACCTGCAAGCTGGTCCATGAATTTGACATGTAGGTGAAGAAGAGAAACCTCTGTTCCATTTCCGTGGTGTAAAATCCAATCTGGACACAGTTCCCATGACGTTACACCCTGTCCATGAAGCTGACTCATCAGTCCAACCGAGAGCACACTGCTCTCCCTGCTGAGATCACTCCTGGGGCAGCATGCTCTGGGCACCTTCATACATAAAAAACTAGCCAAAAAAAGGAACTAACTACTGTGGTAGCCAAGGCTTTTAACTCGTTTCCTTGTAATATTAACTCCTCCCTCTAAACACTACTCACAACAAAGAGTTTCACATCATCTGTTTGACACACGAGACCAAATTATACCAGTGTTTTGAGAAAGACAATAGTAGTGCATGATGTTGGATAAAGGAGCCTGGATCTTAATTCCAGAATCTCCCTTATCTTTACTGGACCCAAGCTGTTGAAGGAGAAAAGACACATACTCTATTTTCCATACACATTCCCACACAGGACCAATTAAGTCTCTCACAGACACAGGAACTTCGATTAAAATTCTCAAGATTGTCTAGAGATCGTCCACATCAGACCAAAATCCAATTAAAATTAGGCCATACTCTCCATCCTTCCATACATGTCAACAGTTTGCCAAACAGTTCAGGTGACTGACAGACGATCCAAGGAGTCCTCAGCCCCGTCAGACGCAGACCCAGGAATTCCCAAAGCAGTTCCGTCTTACCTTGACAGCACCAGGCTGAAGCACTCATGTCACCAGAACTCACGCATTCTGGTGACAGAATAAAAATGCAGAGGCACTGCTGCTTATTCACACACCAGTTAAAAATACTGTTCCTTTCTTTAAAAAGTACTTAAAAATGAAATGTCCTGGGTTCTCCACTTGGTGATTAAATTAAATTTGCTTCTTTGCAAGTTGTAGCAATAAAGCATTAGAAGTCATAGTAATAATCCAGCTTTGCATCCACAGTTTTACATCCTTTATCTGAATAAATTCTCTCCTCCCTGGGGAAGTAGGTCATCTCGTCGGCTATTCTGGTTACAATGTCTTCATCCACAGCATAGCCACGAGCTTCCACCTCAACCCTGACACACATCTTCACGTGTTTGTACTCCAGAGGTAGGAAAGGAATGAAGTAGTCAATGAGATTTCTGTCAATCAAGGTGCTGTGCCAAAATCCACCTGAAAAGAAAGAGAAGTGTTACTGCTCCTCTAGTTAAACACTACCCTGGGTTGAATGGGAGCACATCACAGCCCTCTGCTCTGCACCTCTAAGAATTCACCTGGGGTTTTTGGGCACTGTAATGCACAAGTCTAAGTACAAGCTCCTTCTCATGGTACTTTGTGCATAAAGTCTTGGACAGACACATCAGTGTGGCCCATTGAGGCTGAATCAATGAATTCTGACTGTTCTAGTTAAACACTACCCTGGGTTGAATGGGAGCACATCACAGCCCTCTGCTCTGCACCTCTAAGAATTCACCTGGGGTTTTTGGGCACTGTAATGCACAAGTCTAAGTACAAGCTCCTTCTCATGGTACTTTGTGCATAAAGTCTTGGACAGACACATCAGTGTGGCCCATTGAGGCTGAATCAATGAATTCTGACTGTGTTGAAGCCTTGCCCTCCAGGTGCTGATCTCATACCTTCCCCTCTCTCATCTAGGGAGCGACAGATTTTCTAACTCTTATCAGCCCTCCCAGACCAGTTTTCTTATTTTTTTTTGAGCTTGCATGTAACCTTTTAAAAAGTACAGTAAGTTTGCTTACAATGCTCGTCCCCTTTTCACCAGATGTGGAAATCTAGGAAGCACTTCCCCCAACACATGCAATCCAACAGGCAGCAAACAGACTGGCAGCCAAGCTGCACACAGAGCTCCTTAACCTCCACTCATCTCAGGAGCTGAATGGAAGCCCCAAAACTGTATTGTGGCTCCTTTCAAGCTGAAAACTGGAGGCCACATCAAGTAGAAACCATAGCTGTAAAAAAATGCAGCTAAACACAGCCCATCCCTTTTGTGTAACTTTCACCACCTCAGAAGCAATTCAAGTTTTACTCACTATTTTTGTTGTTGAAGACAGACACAGACAGTGCATTCTGGATATCTGTGAGCTGGATATCTTCCCTTGTCCTCCCATTTCTCCAGAAATCTAGCGCCACCTCTGTTATCTTTTCAGCTCCTGCATTGCTAAGTGAAGACAAAACAGGCTGTGGCTGGGGGTAGTTTTAAAAGGCAAAACAGCAAACCTAAGAAGCCAGTTCTTACCTGAGGAAGATGAAGATGGCTTGTCTATATGACACCCCATCCAGCAGCTCATAGTAGTCCAGGAAGGGCTTGATAGAGTCAATGAGTCCTGCGTGCATTTTGTCCATTTCATCAAATATGAAGAGTGATCTGGGGCAGATGCTCACGTTTCCCCGAATCCACGACTGCAGCTGGTCCTGGGTGCCATAAAAATGGAAGATGCTGAAAGAGTTTGTGTTGAAGAGGCAGAAAATAGCACTTCTGCTTATTGAACTTTGCCCTGAAATGGTGTTGTTTTAATAGCTTTGGCTTCTTGACTAGAACATCATTAAAAGCTGTACATGAAACTTGAACAAAATCTCACACTGGTTCTGAAAAATTGTAAGTTATGACAGGACAAGCAAGAAATCTCTTTGGGAGAAAGATATTCCTGTAACCATAGCAAAAATGCACAGCAGGACAAAGGATAAGTATGTACCACCCAGAACACGCAAAGCAAAGCCTTGCCAAACCAGATGATTACTTTTGGCAGCACTTTGGTCTCAACACCCTTAATGTCACAGCTATGAACAGCATCAAATTTGCTACCTGAACAGCACCAGGGAGAAACTGCAGCTGCAGCCACTGGCAGAAGTAGAAACACAATGAAATTCTCAGCCCTGTGTTTTAATCACTCAGAAGTTAAATGAAGACAATTACAAGCCCTTCCTGAAACACAATATTGTTCAGAAGGGCAAGTGCTTTGTTGTACTAAAAGATTCTCTCACGTGCTGCATTTAAGATCAGTAATGAACTGGGGGGGGGGGAAGGTTGATCTGGCGGCAGATGAACGAGAGGTAACTGTTCTGACCATCTTCACTGACTCATCCTTTCTGTTATTCATTATTTACTCCACCCCTGAACTGCAGAGGCAGCACAGGAAGGTGCATCAGGTGTATTGTGGATAAGCAGCAATAGTTCCTCCTACTGCCTTGGGCAGCAAGTTTCCCTAGTGTGTTCATCTCAGAACAAATGCAGAAAAGCATCCATTTGATGCAAGAAAGGGAAAAGTAAACGGTAAAAAGAGGAAACAGATTACTTCCTCCATTTAGAAACGAAGTTTGTAGACCATCCTGTTCCCATTTTTAAGCTACACAACTGAATATAAACATTCAGTAAAACTCAGCAGTTAGCAAAGTTAGAACAAATAAAACCCCATTGCACAGGGATCTGAGCTACTGCTCCACTGCACTGACACCTCAAACTGACACCACAGTTTCACATACATTTATCTGCACCTTTCTGACAACAGAGTATTTGGTGATTTTGCTTTACAGCTGGGAAATAACTAAATAACCTGCTCAGTGTGCAGCAGAACTGACAAGTACAGATGCCTCAGAGGGCCAGTATCAGCTGGCCACAGCACCTGACACACCTGGAGTTCACTGAGCTGTTCCCCAGAGTCATGAATTACTTGGGTTTTTTTGCAGTGCCCACCAACATATCCCCTAACCATGACTCAGACACATCCCTAAGCAAGTGCAGAATGAAAATCAAACCACATCACTCTTCCCTAAAGAGAGGTTTGAAATATATGAAAAAAAACTTTACATTCATGGGAAAAACAACCCTGACAGATACCGGGATTTACACAGAAGATTCCAAAATTGGCACAGGATACATGTTCCTGTGTAAAACACCTGTCTGCAGTACTGACTGTGCCACAGCAATCCCTGCAGCAGAACACACTCTCACCTTGTAGAGATTGATGCTGTGAGCATGAGGGAAATGCAAAGTCGCCACGAACTGATGCACGTATTTACTCTGCAGACCTTTCTTATAGATGCTTTCGGCGACGATCTTACTGACGAAGTTCTTCCCCGTTCCAGTCCAGCCGTGTAAGGACAGCGCCAGAGGCTTCTTGGCGTTGGTGTTGTTCAAGAATCCCCTCACCGCTTTCACGACCACCTTGCTCACCAGGTGCTGCCCGAACAGCTTCTGGTCCAGGTTCCCCTGCAGAGCTGGAGGAGAGGCCGCAGGGTCACCGCAGGGTCCCCGCGCCAGCCCCGGCCGGGGGCAAAGGCCGGGCGGGACAGCGCCCCGCGGGCC